ATATATATATATATATATATATATATATATATATATATATATATATACTATATTACATAACATTTCATGTGCTTCAGCAGTTTTGAGTTCAGTTACTGGAAAAGTAAGAGATCTGGGTAAGTTGTTTCATTTTTCATATTTCTTCAATTTTGAAGTTGCAATTTATGTATTTATAGGGATCAATATAGAACAGCTGCTATTATAAATAGATTTTCTTAAGGAGTAGCCCTTTTTAAAGACCTGATCTCCAATAAACCTCAGGAACATGGAGGAAATTTCAATAGAGTCATCAACATCAAACCAAAGCATATGTATGTATATAATAAAAAAAAGAATAAAAAGTACCCACCATACCCCCAGTTCCAATGAAGAGAAAGGGGTAATACAATGTAAGTTAAATAATAAAGATAAAATTTATTACTAAAGTTTCAAAATGGGAGTCTGAGAGAAAGAAAAAAAAAAAGAATCAAGATGAGAGAGAAAGGAAATGAGGCCCAAGTATGAGAAAGAATATCAAGGGACAACACAGGAGAAATCTGAAGTATGTGATGTGGATGTGGAAGGGAGATGACTATGGCAGAACATACGGGGGCGGGGCAGCTCGGGGGATGAAGAAGTAGTTGTGTGGACGAGGACCAAGCAACAACATGTATGAAAATACCATAGGGAAACTGTGACTTTCTATCCTAATTTTAAAAACAAACAAACAAGCAAGCAAGCAAAATAACAGACTCAAAGGAGCAGGGAGAACAAGAAGGGAAAATCTGAAGTAAAACCATGAAAGAAAAAAGGAAACTGAATTCTCATGACTTAGGAAGACATTGCTCTTTCCTAAGGCTCTATTGCTAGGATCCATCAGAAAGCCTAGGAGAAGTGCACAATGATTTGTCCCATCTGAGATCCAGGTGAGCAGACCGAGGGAGGGAGACAGGCAAACAGAAGAATGAGCACCCACACCTAAGCCACTAACAGAGCCAAGACCATGCCCGTTGCACTGCAGGCTGACTGCAGGTCACTTAGTCTGTGTATGTGCCTAAGTGGGGGGTGGTTAAGTAATGACAGGATGAGCTACGTGATCTGATCTTGCCAGCTACACCTATAATGACTGAGTTTCTCCTTACACCAGAGAAACCCTCTCAGTGCATGGGTGCGTGTGCATGAGTGAGTGTTTTCAAGTGTGTGTGTGCGTGTATGTGTTTGCTCATATACCTGTGCACATGTTGTGTTGAGGTGAAGGGTTGGAGGTGATAAAGCTTGATATCTTAAATGACCCTAAGCCTCTGAGCTTGGAGAAAGCTCCCAAACGGAAGCCATCTGACCAATGTGACCCTGCCTGACCTCCTAGCAAATGCCACACTGCTCTTTTCTTCCTCCACCCAAATCCACACACCAAGTTTCAATTCTTATCTCTAGGTCCATCTGCTGTTTGCAAAGGGACATGTTTTCAACTTCTTTCTAAAAGGTAGATTATAATTTCCACCATTTAAATTTGTAGCCACAAATGTGTGTAAGACACCATTGGAATTCTTATACCCACAGTGGTTCTCAGAGAGGGGCCTGCTGAGCCAGCTAGGAGAAAAGGCTGAAGGGCCTCAGAGACCTCTGGTAGGAAGTCATGTAGTTGGGTTCTCTTCAAATGGCTCCCCCTGTTGACATATCTGACTAAGCTCTGATATAGAGGGAACCATTGGCTAGTCCCAGTTGACTTCAGATTGCAATCTCCTATGTTTTTGTATTTCCGCATTGCATTTGCCGTGTTTGCTGAGTCACTCTGTCTCTGTCTCTCTCTCTGTCTCCCTCTGTGTGTGTGTGTGTGTGTGTGTGTGTGTGTGTGTAAAGCAGGAAATAGTGGATGTCAATCATATTTAGTTACACAATAAATCAATGTCTCTTATTTTAGAAAATGGGCACAACATAGTTAGATAATGAATCTGAGGAAACACAGCACCAGTCCTTGCTTGAATAGATAAAAACAGACTTTTAATCATTTTGGTTTGAAGGTCCTGATTTGTGATATATAAAAACAAAATAAAGTAAAAAAAAAAAAAAGACTATGGAAAATGTTGTGTTAAGAAGAATGTGTTCACAACATGTGCTCATACTTTCATTAATGATCAGAAACCCCTTCTGTTTTGCCCTGAAATATGAAAGTTTGGCCTGGAATATTTTTTTTTCATTAAGTGACACATTATTGAATCAATGCTGTTACACAGCCTCACCTTGTGTCTTATGCCCTTATCTTTGACTTACTTTGATAGTGAGGGAAGAACTCTCAATGCTGGTGGTGTTGATGGAGAATTCTGCCAGGCCGTGTTGATCAGTGATAGCAGCACTGATATCAGCTTCATGTGGTTTGATGAAGACTTTTTCATTTGGGAGAGGAACGTCCTGGACATCCACTAAGCGAACCTAAATTGAACAAGAAAGAAAAGTATAGTCCAGGAAGGGTAAAACTATACAGACTATACGAGAAAAACCTGTTTCAGTATTTTATAAATATCCCAAAAGAAGCACCAACTAATTCAGCATGTAAAACATTGCTTTACACAAATCTAACACTTTGAGATCTACACCAGTAGAACTGGCTGTGCTGTGAGGCCGAAGGTATCATATTCTTAGCTCCATAATAAATGCTTTGTAGGTGCTTTGTAGGTACCTGTTTGTCATAAGAAAACATTGACAGATCTAGTGTGGACCAAGGGAAGTAGATGCTTTGACACAATCACAAGATACAGTTGTTGGGGACCCAAGGCTAATGGAGAGCATCGATTTATCATGAATATGTAGCACATGTAGCTTCATCATTGAAACACAGTGACATCTTGGGGTTTACAGTTGTCAAGTACATAGTTTTTATAAATAAAATTTTGCTACCTATGTTTTAGATTCTGGGCTTCTAGATAGCCTGTCTAAGTCTTCAGCTTAGTTCTGGGAATTGAAGTCATGCATTTAAGTGTGTGACATACAAGCTCTCCCACTAAGTTACATATCTTGCTTTGCAACCTGTGATGTCAGACATTGACATCATTAACATTGACCAGAATGCCCTTAGTTGAGGAACCATCATACAGCTTAAGCATCTGTGAACCAAAAGCACTTTACTTTCATAAGGAATGGAATCCCAGGTCTAAAGTGTGACTCCACTTTCACAAATACAAGTTTGGTTGTGGTTCTTTCAATTTTAGTTGTTCCAGATCCACTGAACTCGAATCCTGAAAAAGAAATTAGCAAGAACATTGGAAGTTAATCCAGTTAGGCCGTTGCTTGCTTTCTACATCCTTTTTCTACTTCCTTCAAACCTCCGCCTTGGTGTGAACAGGTGTCAATTTTCATAGCTTTATTTTCTATATTTTGAGTTTACTTACATACCTGTCCCTTCTTCTATAACATTTGCATTCACATGAAGATGCTGCATGCCATAATATTTTTCCTTTAATTGGAACACAGTGATGTCTTCTTCTTGTGTGATGCAGCCATTTTTGTCTAGCTGATATGCACGAGACAAACAAGGAATTGAGGCAAGTCACATTGAAGATCAACTCAAACTCCCATGTAAGAACTTCTTTCAGAAAAACGAGTCCTCACTGCTGTACAGCATGGCATTCTGACTCTAAGCATGTGCCTCCTTATATTATTAGTGTCTTTAGTTAGTATTAGTATTAATCTATTTCTACTACTAAGATACTAAGATAAATAGCATCAGAACATGCAATAAAATCATAGGAATAAGCAAATAATTAACAATAACCCGAAATATAAATGATTTTAACTCTTTTTTTGCTTTTAATTAATTTATTTTTTCTCTTTTTTTATTGTTTGTTATTATTAGTTACATTTTATTAACTCTGTATCCCAGCTGTATTCCCCTCCCTTATTCCCTCCCAATCCCACTCTCCCTCCCTCAGCTTCTCCCTGACCCTTCCAAGTCTATGGATTGGGGGAGGACCTCCTTCCCTTTCCTCTGGCCCTTTTTTATCAAATATTGTCAGGGCTGGCTGTGAAGTCCTCCTCTATGGCCTAGCAGAACTGCTCATCCCTTGGAGGGTGAGGAGTGATTTTAACTCTTTAAGAAGCATGTCTAGCTAATTAGACTACAGAACAACAACAACACACAACACATACACAAATAAAAGGATAGAAAGGGATAGATTAGGAACATTCAAGGTGAGAAGAGGAAGGAGTATCAATACTAATATTTGATAAAATAGACCAGTCCAAAATTATGACAAGAAATAAAAACTTCACTACCAATGAATGAAAGGAATAAAAACAAACAAACAAAAAAGAACATGGAGTAAACATGTTAGTACATCCAATTTCATAACAAACTACAAAGTAAAAGACTGACAGATCCAGAGGCAATAATAATGGGTGATTTTAGTACTACAAACTCATTAATTGATCATCTGGGCAAAAATAATAACTTTCAGAATGTTGTATAGAAATTTCAAGTGAATTAAACATTCCATGTGGAAGGAGGCTCACTAAGACTCAGGAAATATGAAAAGCTTATAAAGCTGAGGATATAAACAACTCAGAAGGCTCAAGAAGTTCCTAAAACTGACAAAATTGCAAGGCTATAAGCAGGCTAAAAAAATCCATGTCCACCAAACCAGCCTTATAGAGAATACTAGAAATAATACTTTGAACTGAAGACAGGAATAAGTATAGCTAAGATGCTATAGAAAAAAAAAAAACTACAATTACTGAAACATAAAATAGGATTAAATATAAATAGCAACAACAAATACAAAATGACAGTAATCAACATACATGTTTCAATGATAATTTTAAATATTATTGACCTCAATTCAAAAGACATCTAGGATAGCTGAATAGGTTTAGAAACAAAATCACTCTTTTTGATTGCAAGAAACTCATTTTACTTGCATCACTTTATAGGGAAGGCATCACCTTAGAGGGAAAGGATAGAAAAAGTATTCAAAGCAAATGACCAGAAAGCAAGCAGAATTTGCTATTCTAACATCTGACAAAACTGATTTAAAAAAAATTTAATCAGATGAGATAAAGAACACTTTGTTTTGATCAAGGGAACAATTTACTGAGAAGACACCACAACTATAAATATATATGAATCAAACTTTAGCACACACACTTTCATAAAAAGCATATCACTGGACTTCAAGATGCAAATGAAACCCAAGTCAGTAATTATAGTTGATTTCTGTACCCTAATTTCTCCGATAGGGCATCTGAACAAACAATAAAAATAACTACAGAATGTCATCAAAATTAAGTGACATCATACACAAAATGGACCTAAATGATTTTTATTAAGTACCACCTAAAAACTAAAGAATTTTGGTCTTTGAAGTAATGAATGAAAGTTTCTCTAAAATAGACCACATAATGGTACACAAAACAAATCTGAACAAATACAGAAAAATTAGAATAACCTAGTGTGTCCTATGTGACCACAAAGCAACAAAGCTTAAAATCAATGGCAAAAGAATTTCCAATGTTATATAAATTCATAGAAATTAAACAACACACAATTGAATATTAAAATGAATCAAAGAAGAACAAAATAAAAAATTTAAAAATTGTGAATTAAATGAAAATGAGAACACAATAAAACAAAACTTCTGGAACACATTCAAAACTGTCCCAAGTGGGACATTTACAGTCTTGAATGATGGTAAAAAGAAAGGAAAAGAAATAACACAAATAAATTACTTAATATTACAAGTCAAGGAGTTGGAAAAAAAGAAAGGTCAAACCAAACTCATAGCTCAATTAGTGAAAAAGAAATAAAGAATACAAAGAAACAATGAGTCTAAGAGATGGTTATTTGAGGAGATAAGGTCAAGAGACCTTTGGCTCAATTAACTAAAAGAAGAAAGAAAGGAAGAAAGAAAGAAAGAAAGGAAGGAAGGAAGGAAGGAAGAAAGGAAGAAAGAGAAGGATAGAAAGAAAAAGAAAGAAGGAAGTAGGAACCACAAAATTAACAGAATTAAAAATTACAGGGAAACATTACAGAGACATTAACGAAATTTGGAATATTTTAGGGGAACACTAAAAAACCTGTATTGAATGAATTTAGAAAACCTAAAACAAAATGGACAGATTTCTACGTCTACCCAAACCACAACTATTAAACCAAGAAGAAATGGACAATGTTGACAGTCACAGAGACAGTAGAGGACAACCCACTACTGCCACCATTCTCCGGAAGCTATAGGTCCTTAACTATATTCCAGAAGTTTGCCATTATACTTAAAGATAGGTGTAGGTCTCAAGTCAGCAAAGACTCATTTTTCAACAGATAGAGACCGTTATAGAGATCCACAAACATCAAAATGCAGAGAATTGCCTATGATGTGTGCAGCCCCAACGAATACAACTCCACAATAACCCCAACCTCGAAGGATTAGGGAAAAATCATGAAACAAGGATCAGAAAGATTATAAAAGTCCAGAAAGCCTGTTGCAAAAATAGTGTCTTTCAGACACAACAGGAAAAACACACCCATAGAGTTCTCAACAATGTGGTTGCCTGAACAAGACTCACACAAGGGTAGAACCAGTTAACCTGCCAATGTGGTGAAATGGGGAAATTGCCCAGAGCCCCACTCCTAGATCAAGAGCTACAGCTACAGGTGATCATTGGCTGCTGAGAATGACTGAGATGAATATAAAGGTCTGTGGGAGTCAGGAGTGGCCTGGCCCTGCAGGTAGCACAGAGGTCTCCCAGGCTGTTGCCAAGTACAAGTGCCATCTCCCATAAGGAAGGTTGTACTGACTGGGAAACAGTGCTCAGGATGAAGGTCTAGAGGGCGAGGCTGGGTAGATTCGGGTGTGGTCTGGCCCTACAGATGCAGATTAGCAGGGAGTTACCTACATCTGTCCCCAGCCTGTTGGGTGGTAAACAGGTAAACATCTCCTCCGTTGAGGAGAACACCAGAGTGTTTGACATTCCCGGTTTCTCTAACGCTTGTCTGTGAGCTCAGGACCAATGCTCTGCACACCTCACGTGCTGTGGGTGAGACTACAGCCTAGTATAGAAGCTCCTCAGAAAAGGAGAGGTCAAACTACCACGAGGTCAGCGGTGGGGAATAAGGAAACGAAACCTGGGTCAGCATCCCCACACCTGTTCACAAGCACGCCTGTCATCTCTGTGACTCACAAACAAGCGAGCCCATCAGCTGATGAATGGGTAATCAGAACTGAAGAGGAGAATTTATGGGCACAGAGATGATCACCTTTCACCAGATATGCCAGATTCAGACACACGAAGGTACATGTTTCCTGTCATATGTGAGGGTAAAACAAAACAAAACGATGGCAAAATGGAAGTTGTTCCATTTGGGAAGAGGAAGAGTCCGGCAGGAGGAGGGATGGAGAGAATACTGCAGGTAATGAATGAGGGGATCAAGTGTATGATACACATGATTGAATATATTGCAAGGAAGCCCATGGTTTTTCACAATTTACTTACATTTCATACATGCTAATTAAAATATACTTTCAAAGAACAGTCTATAAGGCATGAAAGTAGAGGGTGCTATATAGGAAGAGGAGAAGGACACATGGGAGTAAGGACACAAGAGAGCAGAGGTGGCAAGGGGACAGGGGAATATGGTTAAAATACATGATTCTCATGTATGAAAATGTTATAAACCTACTATTTTGTACAATGATTTACACAAAAATAAATTTGGTGGTCAGCTCAAGTTGTTGAAATGTCCCTTTAATTATAGTGGGTCCTAGGACTATCACTCTGTCAGTGAGGGGCTCCTGGGTAGTGCACACATGCCTGGCTGGTGTTCCATCACTGAGCTACACCCTGAGGTCCAGAATATCCTCTTTCAATGCCTGGATATTCATTTCCTCTCAGCGGTGCTGCATGCATTGCTGTGTCAGTTAACCTGGATATTAAAAATAGGCCTGTGAACAGTTTTCACTCACCTGGTAACTGACTTCTTTGCATCCAGTCTCTCTCTCAACGCCCAAGTACAGATATTTACGGCATATACTTATCTTTGCATGTCCTGGGACAGGCTTCCCATAGGTATATCTGTCACAAGATAAATGCACACAGACCAGGAGTGTTTCTGAAGCAGAGACTTACTGTCTTCCCACCCATAGTTTACACTGACAACTTGAAACTGACTCTGTCTAGTTTTGTAATGACAGCAAATATGGCCCATTATTACCACTTGACACTTTCTAACTATATATATTAATGATTTAGGTCGTTTAAGAACCTTTTGGAGACATGCTTTCTCCCACCCCTTCTTGTTGTTTTATAAAGATTAAGTAACCAAATCAGGATCCTAAACTGATGGAGCTGAGATGAGTGGGAACATGGGGAAATTACTATTTTTACAAACCTCAGTCTTTGGCCTTCTTTCTTATCATTTTTCCTAAGCCTGATTATTTAAATGACAAGCATGTGAGCTAAGGTGTGCCTCTTCTGTCTGATTTGGGCACAATTGCAAATTTCTCCAGGGCTTTGACTTCTTTGGATCCCAGATTGAAATAGCAGTTTTAGTTGCTGTAGTACAAGATCCTTATTTATGAGGTACAGAAATGTGCAATTAGAAAACCCAGATGTTTTATAATTAAACTTAGGTGGCAGTGGCTGGAGCTAGAGACAGACTGGGAGCCATAATTTGGTGTCTGTGTTCTCTTTACATGGGTCACTGTTTCTTCTTAGGTACCTTTCTGTCTCCAAAGACCAGGACTCTTTAGTGCTTCATACAACTGATTTTACCTTTGGTGTCATGAGAATTACCATCAGCAACACATGCAGTGAGTGCCTGAGCAGGAAGTGATGCTCAGTAAGGGACACAAAGAAGAAACGAACACCACAGGGGCCATTCTAGGTGGGAAGGACACGGCCTTCACATTTCTACATATTCTACAATGAGACATTATCCCGGGTGTTTCCATGCCCAAGTACATCCTTAAAGTTAGAAGAATTGAAAGATATAACTCACACTGCACATGCTGTTACATTTATTTTTTCATCTTGCACAGAGATGGCCTTTGGGACCTTTACTTGAACTTCAAATCTGGGAAGCACTGTTGGGAAAAAGAAGGAAATTCTAGTGGAAATTTACTTTTCTAGCTGCTTGACTGATCAGTCTCTGCCCATTATTGATGATTTCACATTGTCACGGTGAGTCCACCCTCCATGTAAGGTTAGACCACTGAGTGGTTACGGATTATATCATTTCTTTCAAATCACTGTGGTATCTACTTAAATAAGAGAAACTAAGTAATTTGTTCCTGAAAATCCCAGAATTTGTTGGAAGTTCCATGTTGCTAGGTGGATAGCCTTAGCTTCGTTGAGATGAAACCCAGCCTTGCACATTTGGACCTCAGTTTGTTCAAAAGAATTCATCCTGTGATAAGTAGAAACGTCTGACACCAGCTTTCCTTTTGTGGCCTTCCCAAGCATACCGAATTCTTCCACGGTGAAGGAGTGCTCTTTCTTCACTCCTGTTTGTTTTTGTATCACTATCTTGTAGGAGCCCAGAATGGGCTCCAGAGACAGACTGAAGGACAGTTGCTTAAGCCCATTCTCTGTGTTGATATTCTGCCACTGCATAATTCGGTTCGTTTTTGGATCCTGTGAAACAGGTTGCAAGTTTTCTAAGTCAATAATGTATTAAGAACAACAACACATCTAAGACCACTGTGCTCATGGTGGAAGCATTTGGGAGCCTGCTAATATTCTTCTGGGGGAGAGGGAAATAAAGGAAAGGTGGGGCATAACCAACCAGTTATGTCGAATGGCAGAAGGCTGCTGACCCACACTAGGCCTACAACACCCCAGCATCAAGGTACTTTCAGTGGATTGAGTTCTCTCTGAATATGAACACTGAAGCTTCTTACCTCAATGTAAACCACAGGAAACTGAAACAAAAGGGAAAGCAGTGTTAGTTCAGAACAGAGGGTGCTGACCCCTTTGGCAAACCTGTCTCCAAAACATTGTGATTAAATCAGTAACTAAATTACAGTTATGAAGTAGCAATGAAAATAATATTATGGTTGTGGGTCACCATAACATGAGGAAGTGTATTAAAGGATCGCAGCATTAGGAAGTTTGGGAATCAATGGTCTAGAAATTTCACACAGGCAGCAGATTCCATACATTTATATTCTGGCCCATAGGAATGCAGTTTCAGTTAGAATTGGATGGACTTAATCTCCATTACAAAGCCAATTGCAAGCCAATTAAGTCCTACAAAGAATTTTTAAGTATATGTTCTAGAACTACTTGAGTTGTACAATCGATAGGGACTCAGAAATGGAACTGTGGGACATTATAGTAGGATTTCTCTGATGTGCTGTGAGACACACCATGAGCCTTTACAGTCCGGAGATTATATGCTTACTGTTTAAATCAGGTATATTTGCAGTGTGAAATGGAGTTAATAGTTTTAAATATATCTGTTGGCATAATGTTCTTGTGTCCAGGTTACCCTTGTTCACTCAAATGCTGATTTCTCTACCCACTATCTGCTTTCAATCCAGACATTGCATTATGACATTAATTCTAAGCACCTCTTGTCTCAATTTTGTGTAAACATGTCACTGTTCTCTGTATTGCCAATAAAAGCCAACTTGCCAATGCTGAGTAGTACAGAGAATAGGGTGGGACATCTTGGTCTGATGAGGGGAAGAGAAAAGACAGGAAGAGAGGATGGATGCAAGGGGAGAGGATCAAGAAATGTCAAGAGAAATGAACTAGACCTAGGAGGTAATCAAAAAGCAAGTAAAATTGGGAAATCTGAATGGGAGAAAGCTATATTAGCTTGGAGTTTTAGTATGGGGTAATTTTTGCAGAGCATATCACATTAAGCTAATAAAATATTTAAATAAATCCTACTCTCTCTGGTTATTAGGGTATAGAGCTGGTTAGGGAGTAACTGCTGCTTTACTAAAATATAAATCAATATTAAATATTAGTAATTTGTGACGTATATACAGTCGAATTGTATAACTAGAGGGTGTCCTGGGCAAGGCACTGGATTCCCATTCTTCATCTAATGAGCTACAAAGGGATTAGCATGTGTCCTCAAGATGCACCTCTTGAAAAACTTTAACAGATGCCTAACTATTACCAGAGTAAAATAAATGAAGAAAGTCCTCAATAGCTGCTCTTGCTTCAAAGGAGAATTGCTGCTGACCAAGCCAAGAGGGGCAGTTTCAGAGGTTTTCCAGGAGACATGGTTTTGATTGATTAGATGATATCTACACAGTAAAGACAGACACTGACAAGGTCATTTAAGATTCTGTCGTAACTGAGCTCTCTGCAGAGGCAAACTTATTTTAGGTGACAACAAGCTTAAAGAACACAGCCATTTCTAGCAGCTGATAAGGGAGCACTTAATGGCAGTTGTAAGGGAGATTTAGTGATAAAGGACTGGTTTCTGAAAGTACAGAAAATTAGGTCATGACAATGGATGATGAAAGTGTGGTACACGTGTACGCGATGAAGGTCTATTCAGTTATTAAAAATGACATCACAAAATTTTCAGGCAAATGGATAAAACTTGAAAAAATTGTAACGGTAAGCCAGGCTCAGAAAGACAACTGCTTTGTGTTCTTTCCTATCTGTGGTTCATCACTGCAGATATGTAGAGTTATGGAGTATCCGTGGAAACAAGGAAAGAAGAGGGTCACTGGGGTGGGAACTTCCTCCAGGTAGAAGAGATGTTGATGGAGGTGACATCAAAGCACAGGTGGACTCAAGCAGGGATGGTGTGTGGGATGGGAGTGTAGAGAGGGAAAGGTGGGAGAGTTAACCAAAACTAAGGATCTATAAAAAAGCTATGTGGAAACTTACTGCTTTATAAACCGATTAAGAAACATAAGTTTAAACTATTTGCAATGTGACCTGGGTCCAGGACACTAGGCACCCTCCATTTTCTGCTGATATCTCACTGTGTGCCTTATTTCCTGACCCTCTGAACTAACTGGCACTTAGGTTCTTCCTCTCTTTCCTGCTCTCACTCTCACCTTTAGGTTTTGAAGAAGAGGAAGAGGGTACAAACTGCAGTTTGAATTTTATAAGATCAGGATAAAGGAAGCAAGAAAGAGGCAGTCTTTCACTTAACAGGCTGTGAAAATATCACTTGAGCCAGGTAGGCATAATGGAATATATTTCAATACCAGCAATCAGGAGGCAGAGGCAGGCTGAGCTCTATGAATCAAGGCCAGCCTGCACTATATAGAGAGTTCCAGCTAGCCAGGATTACATAGTGAAATCATGTTAAAAAAATAAATAAATAAACCAGTCACTCAACATTGCAAAGTAAACAAATCTGTGAATTAAATTTTCACTTGGATACTGAGCTATCATGGGTTACATCTGGGCAGGAGTTCCAGGCTATATCCATGAACAGTCCTTGGTTGGAGTTCCTGTCCTCTTCAGGTCTTATTATCTCCCTCCACTATTGCATAAGATTCCCTGCACTCTGCCCTAAGTTTGGTTTTGAGTCTCAGCATCTGCTTTGATACACTTCTGGGTAGAGTCTTTCAGAGTCCCTCTGTGTTAGGTTCCTGTCCTGTTTCCTGATTTTCTGTCCATCCCGTTTGTCTTTCTGAGCTGAATGGCTGGATCTTTGACCAAACCCAGAAAGACAAACATGACATGTACTCACTTACAAGTGGATTTTAGCTGTAAAATAAAGCACAATCACACTATCAGCCACAGACACACAGAGTCTGTGTAACAAGGAGGGCTTTAGGGTGGGGCAGGGATCTCCCTAGGAAAGGAAAATAGAATGGATCTTTTGAGTGGGGTGGGAGTGGAGGCAGAAAGGATGAGTCAGGGAAGGGGGAAAGAAGGAAAGAGTATGGGGAGAGATGGTGGCAATAGGAGGCATTTAGGGTGCAGTGTGGAAATCTATTGTAGTGGAAACTCCCTTGAACCTATGAAAGTGACCTCACTGAGGACTCCTAGCAATGGAGGATTTGACACCTGAAAGGCCATCTTCTGTGACCAGTCAAGGCTCTTAGAGGTGGGACTGGGCCCAAACCAAGAGAGGGAGCCCATGCCCCATACTGCCTGTGTGGCCAGGAGAGGGAGCCCATGCCCCATACTGCCTGTGTGGCCAGGAATGAGAAGCTGGATGATTGGATGGCTCAGACTCTTTTGCCTGCTTTTGGGAGCCCTTTCCTTTTACAGGGTTGTCTTACTCAGCTTTGATATGAGGGCATGGGTTATTCTTATTGCATCTTGTTGTGCTGTGTTCAGCTGCTCTTTTCTGATGGGAAATAGTTCTGGAGGAGGAGGGAGTTTCGGGGAGAGACTTGGATGAATGCAGGACGAGGAGGCTGTAGTTGGGATGTTCTGTGTGAGAAAAGAATAATAGTAGAAAATAGAAAAAACATCCTTGGTAGAATTACACAACAGATTATTGGGATGAATAATGTTTAGACTTTCCAACAAATGGTGTCTATAGTAATTGGTTATTAACACAGAACAAGTTAAGTAAAGTGGATAATTATTTTGTTTATTTTTTAACTAGTTCTTTGAGATTTTGTGCAGTGTTTTAAGATGATAGTCAACCCTCCCCAAACTTGTACCAGATCTACCTCCCTTCCCTACTCATCTGACTTACGGTTCTCTATTTTCTTTTTTTTTCACCCATTAATTTCACTTGAACTGCCCATTTATTCTTGGATGTGTGGACTTCCACTGGAATAGGGTTGACTTACCAGTGTCCATCCTCTTAAAGACAACTGACTTTCTCCCAGTAGCTGTCAGTTAACAAGAGCTCCTCAGCTAGGAGTGGGGCTTCATGTACATCTCCCCTCTCCATGCTCGGCTTTGGTCGGGCTTGATAGTGCATGTGCTTGTGCATGCTAACACAAGGGTAAGTACAAACGTGCAGCTACCATGCTGTGTTTAGAGGACTGTTCCTTGTATTTATTCTGGCTCTGACAGTATTCACCTCTGGCTGTTGGTATAATGTTCTTTTGGAATGTATACACCTTACCCTTGTTAATTCAAATGCTGAATCTCCCCGACTCTCTGGTTTCAATCTGGACATTGCATTTTGATACTTATTCTAAGCATCACCTGTCACAACTTTGTGTAAACATGCCAACATAAAAAAAAAAACCAAAACAACAACAAACAGCCATAATGTTGAGCAATGGAAAGGAAGGAGTAGGAAGGAGAGGGAAGGAGCCAGAGGACAGGAAGGAGTGGGAGGCAGAGGAGGAGTGGAGAGGAGCAAGAGCTGGGAGAGGGGATAAGCTGGGAGAGCACAGGCTGAAGGAGAGGTCTTGGAACGACATGGAGAAATGAATTGGACCTAAGATATCACTAAATAAAGTATAATGTGGGAAATCTGAATGGTAGGAAACTATGCGGGCTTGGAGGTTTAGGATGGAATAACTATTGCCTGGCATTGTGTTCTAGGTTAACTAAATAAATTCTAGTCTCTGTGTGGTGATTTGGATATGCAGCTACTTAGGATTAACCGCAGCTTTACTAAAAGATATATCAATAGTAAGTATGAATGTACAACACAACACCTGGCTCTTACACTTTTTCCTCCTTCTGTGACACAATTATCTCTGCCTTTGGAGGAGAGGATGTGATTTTGATGTCCAATATAGGCTTTCACATTCTACAGCCAAGCTGGTACGAACTGGAACCATCATCTCTACTGGGCTAGCTTTCATAGAGCGGGAAGGTGTAGGCATGCTACCAGAAGAGGAAAATAATCACCAGTCTTATCAAGCTGTGAACCCTGTAACTATGAGAACCACTGGCCTGGGAAGATTTTCCCACAGTGCAATACCAGCACAAACGTCATGGAAGTAACTAACCACTCTCTGACTGGTTTAAGATCAAACCCACACTTGGCCTCACAAGAGCCTGTGGCTAGACATGCCATAGGCCCCAGGGGATAACCCACTATTATTGTGCTGCTAAAGGACATAGCATTAAGCCAACTCCTACTGATTTATAGTAATAGTTTAAACCATTTTTCATCCTTCATCAGAGAAGCTTCTATTTGTAGCAGAGGGCAAATGCCACAGATACCCAAAACTAGCCTAACAGCAGAAGACAAGTGACTGTCAAATGCAAGTTATTTTGCAATTTTATTCTTAAAAGAGATTACTTAAGGAAGGACCCAAGTGTTTAAAACTAAGTAATAAAAACAATACAGACAATGTGAGACATACTCTTGCAATACTAGGAATGGATTTCTTCAGGATGGCACAAAGTAACAGAAACTACGAAAGAAATGACTGGAAAACACCATCAAACTCCAAAGTTCTGTGCAGTGAAAGTCTCCATGAAGTATAAAGAAAATCCAGAGATACTTAACCAGGAATGGACTGAAAAATAAGGATTTTCACATATAGGGAAGACATAGAATGGCCAGTTTTAACTGAGAACGGGTGTAAATAGGTAAAAGATCAGAATAAAACAAGATTAACTCAGTTTAGAAAGGGGCTGGAAATTAGAATATTGAAGCAGCATTTTGTCTTGATGAACCCACCAATACCCACTTGTAAGAGACTCACCAACTCACGCAGGGGGTGTAGATTTTTATCCACAGAGACAACCCTAAAGTTGACTGGAAAAAAAGAGAGAGAGAATTTTCTAATGAAGTCCAGAGATTCAGGTCTTCTCCATGCCATATTCAGGATGGCGTCTTAATTCGTTTGTCCACTCTACAGCTTCATACCTGACTGTCCTGGCTTGTACACTGGTTTGTCTGTCTGGAGAAAGACAACGCTTTCTTTGTTCTTCACCAGCACCACCGTCTTTTTGCTGAATTCATGTGTTGGCCCTTTGGTGTGGACAGAGAGGGACACCTTCTCCTCAGAAAGAGAAAGTCTGGGGAGCTGAGAAAGAGAGGAAGACAAGACCCTTCACCCACCGTCTGACCCTCTGCAGCAATTAGATTTCCTTTTTTACTTCATCTCCTTCCACATCACAGGAAGGAGATGGGTTCCATCAATTTTTTCTTTAAACGTGATGTGCAGGAAAAAAAGAGTCATATAAGTATGTCAAATAAGTATGAAAAGAAAACACACTATTGTATGTGATTCAATGGAAGCAACAAAAACAGTCATTTTTATGGAGTAAATATGATCTTGACTGAAAATTAGCTCTCACTCTGAAACTGATGTAGAGGGAAAGACAATACATTAATGGTGGTAGAAATTAGGAGATAATATATTAGTGGTGGTAGAAATTGTGTCTTGAGGTTAGGCCCTGAACAAGAAACCAACACTTCTTCAGAAGAGGTGTGGACCTTATCAGCTGAGTGTTATTTGAAAGTTTGTGACTCACTAGCAAAATGTACTATGCATGGGAAAAATGTCTCTTTCTCTGGGTGGTTAAACTTTTGAGAAAATTCAATGGGAAAGTAGCATATGCACAAGAATTGGCTCTTCACATTTTGGGGTGTGATAATCTATGGTAATTTTTTATTGGGTAAATATCTAAGTTTCTCCTGTCTTGAAGTCACAGATATGTCTCTAGAGTGATCTTTTTTAGAAATCTGTATGTATATTAGAGATGCATATCAACACACATATGTACATATATGTACAAACAAATCAGAACCGGTTTCTGGTACTCACAGTAAAGGAAACACAGCGGAACAAGTCCTTGTCGACCACAAGCTCATTGAACAGGCTTCTGTTTCCCCAGCTGGACTGCAAGGTGGCTCTGACCGTCACTGTTTCATTCAGATGGTATAGATGGAGGCAGATTTTCTCAGGGGTCTCAGTGTGGAGCTGGGAAGGGACCAGCACCATATACTTCCTGGAAAGGAAGGAGTTTGGGCCAGCACAGGATAGATATTGTTTAAGACTGTAGTTTCATCACAGTAACCCCTGCCATCCATATTTCTACAGCCTGAGATGGCAGTTGACAGCATGATACAGCAGAGTGGCAGGACGATTATCGATTTTTGTAGTGGTGATAACTCAGCATCAGCTGTGACACCCACCAAGGCAGGATCAAGTGACAGGTGGTCCCTGCACTAAGCAGCCAGCATTCAAGTTCTTGCAGGTTTTTTTTTTTTCTTTAAATGAAGATATGGAAGGAATATTTCTCCTTTACATAAATATTCATCAGAACTGTTCTTCATTACCATTTTCAGTTCTTGGGAAAGAACTCAATATCTTGTTTTTATTTTCCAGTACTCTTCAACCTTGGATTTATAATATGACTATGAAATTCAGAGTTGTACAATTCACCTGTGTTACACCTAAGCAAGAGTGAAAAGCTCTCTGTAGAAATCATCCTCTACCTTTTCCTAGCATTACAGATTTTGTTTCAAAATAGCTAAAAATCTAGTTCATCACTTCTACACCACAGTATCATCAAATTTATAATCATATTTTTTCTGATCTCAAAACAAAAAAACTCCCTAACAATGTAATTCTAATAACGTGGATACTTTGAACACCAAACAAGTTCTACTGGTAGTTTAATGCAAGGCTCTTGATTCTAACAAGAGTGTTGTTATAGGACACAAACATCCACAGAGTTCTGGTGTGCCTGAAGTCTCACCTGTACCAAGGTTAGACTGTAGCCTATCCGTTTCCAACCAAGAGTCCCAACAGTTTAAATGCTCATTTTCAAAGTTATTAAAAATTTTCAACAAATAAGAATGTCTCTGACCAGTGGGATTTTAGAAACTCCTGGTATCTAAGAGGAGTGCTATTCTAAATTACATAACACCTAAGTTTAACCACACTGATTGCTTTAGAGTTAAAAAAAAAAACAATTATACATAATCATGTAATCCTAGAGTTAGGTAACACACACACACACAATTATTATTTGTTAATTATAAACCAAAAAGACTTTGGGGAGGTTTTTCGGAGAAGGAACTGTGAAAGGAAATGAATGGTTTTGATTGGAGGAGGAATGATATAGGAGAGGCCTTGGTGGTACTCACGGATCTGAATGGAATGAGGATGCAGAAGGCAGAAAGACAAGAAGAACTAAAATGAGACATGGCAGAGCCTGTCTGTTCTTCCACATGGTGTAGGAAGAAAGGACAGGAGGACAGAGCTTATGGTGTCCTCTTCCTTAACCCTGTTTCCAGAGATTTCCCCAAACCACCCTGGCTATTTATGAGTACTCTGTGCAAACAGGAAGCTTCACCAAAGCTGTCCAAATAGAAGAGGAGAATTTTTGCAAGAGTTCTTTTTGGTGTCACTGCGTTCGGTGATGGCCTCTGGACAACTCAAATAAATTACAACAGTCTCAGGAAAGGTACCAGATGGTGGATGGTGCTGGTAAAGGGTCAAGGCCAAGCAAACCCATAATGCACATAGACTCTGCTTGGTGTGAATTAGAGAAGACTTTCTCAGCCTTAATGACCATAAATCTTTGCAGCCCATGACTGTGCTGTGATTGTGTGACATTTGTCACCTCACTGCTTCTACTCACCTAGAATCTCTGAGCACTACTTTGAGTGAGACCTCTCCATCTCTCTCCTTCCTCATTTGAGAGTAACTAGAGTAGTCCAGGTTGGAGATCTTCAGTTTTCCTGTCTCTTATCATATAAGAATCTCTTTTTACTGGTCTTGGGTGTAAAGGGGAGTGGGGAGAACTGTGGCTACTGGAAAAGATTTAAGAAAAAAACCTCACCTATTATACTTCACTGAGCCTAAATCTTCTTGTTAGAACAGAAGTCCACAAAGCTCACATAGAGGCACACTTGCAAAGTCTTATTGCTGTGGGTTATTAGGAAGCCAAATACAATCAGTGCAACTAAAGGTGGTTGCTACAAATGCTGAAGTGATTAATATTCAGGATGCAACTCAGTTCCTTTGGAAGGACATTAAGGTATGAGTTGGGAAGCATATTATTAGCATTTCTATTCTAGATCATAGAGATGTTTATTTTTGCAAAGATACTATGATATTGGCTTGAGAGGAAGGTATAATGTTAGATAAATCAATTATAATCTTGAGGCTTTAAGTAAAAAGAAAAGAACCTGCTAGAAGGGGATTATGGTAAGCATGTAAAGGATGAAAAAGAAATAAAACTTCTGCATTTTATTGATTGACCTCTGAACCCTGGTTAATCATCAATAGGAAGCTTTACTAACTCCCAAACTGGACCTTTCTGTCCAAATTCCACTGAAACAATAATTACACTTTTTCATCTTAACTTTTTACTCTTTATTTTTTTGAGCATGATAATGAATGGCTTTAAATTCCTGTAAGATTATGGCAGCAGTGACATCGAAACATTAACAGGTTCTAACAATGCAGGAGAGTATCAAATGACAGGGCATGTCATCTGAGATGGTGCATAACCCAGGCTCAGAACTCACAGAGAACTTCTCATTAGAGAGCAGACATGCTATCCTGCTTACTTGAGGCTTTCCAGTAGAAAGAAAAAACAGGGTACAGATCTGAGGCTTGAGAAATCTTATGGAATGGTCTAGAGACAAGAGAAACATTGGTATATCTGAAATTATCTGATTATTCCATAACTGCTGGAATAATCAGGCTGAGGTAAGCCCAGGCTTAAATATAAGAGTTCCTTAGGGGTAAAAAATCTTGGAGTATAACCTGAAAAGATTTAATAATGAAAACATATTTTACAATGATGTTTAGAATAATAACATACGTGTTGGCATGAAAGAATGACCAGAGGTCTACAAACTCTAATTGATGACTTGTAAACTTATCTAAATATGCTATAATGGTATTCCAAACTGAGAGACTAGGCATTAAACAGACTCCCTGGCAAGCAAACAGATAGGGAGCGGGACGTTGGCTAAGCAAAAATGGTAGCAAACCCTCTAGAATGACTGTCTTCTTCCTTAATGTGTTTGAATAAGAAGGGCCCCAAGAGGCTCATAGATCCAAGTGCTTACTCACCAGGGAGTGGAACTGTGTGAAAGGATGAAAAAGATTAGGAAGTGTGGCCTTGTTGGAGGAAGTGTACCACCCTTTGTAGGCTTAGAGGTTTCAAAAGTCCATGCCAGCCCCCCCCTACCTTTTCCTTCATTTCTCCTCCCTCTTCCCTTCTCTTTCTGCCTATGGATCAGCATATAGCTTTCAGCTGCTTCTTCTACACCATGTCTTCATGAATGTGGCCAAATTCCCTGACATGATGATAATGGCCTAAATCTCTGAAACTGTAAGAAAGCTACGAATTAAATGCTTTCTTTTATAAGAGTTGCCTTGGTTGTGGTATCTCTTATAATTTTGGTTGTGAGCCTAGCCTTTAATGGCTGAGCCATCTCTCCAGCCCTGGTTGTGGTAAGATGTGGCTAAGGATGTGAGTCCCATAACAAACTAGTGAGCTGTCACAACCCCAAGGTTTGAGTTCGGGTTACATTAAAACCAGGCTCCAGAGAGTCATCTTTCACCACAAGTCCATACTCAGCGGAAGGAAACTGAGTGGACCCAAGTCATTCCCACAGATTAGAGTCCTGCATTCCCTGTCATCTGGGTAGCTCCTGCTGACCCAGGAGCTGCTCTATACGTGAGAGGTAGTAAGATGAGAGCAGCAGACACCCAATCAGTAAGGCTCCATGGAATACCGCATCCCGACATCCACAGCTCCACGACAATTAAGGCTTTCTTCTAATCCTGACCCCCAGTGTGGGCACTGGGCACAAAGTAGCTCCAAGGATGCTGGTCTTCTTGGGGCAGTGATGTTACACAGCCCTATCAAGTCCTACTTAGCTATCCACAGCAGACAGAGCAGTCTTGTAATTTTGGAGAATTAAAATCAAGAAATCTTCCACTAGGACTTGAAAGTTATACGTTTCTGTGAGAGCTTGGATGGGTAAACAGCTCCATGGAGCCTGGAGGAAGGTTGTGAAGACAAAGACATAGATGCTACCAGATCAACCCAAAACTGGATAAAGCAGAAGGGAAAAGAATCTCCTGGTAAGAATGTGTCTCCCTCTTCTCTACAGCTACACCTTTCTTTAGTACCCTAAACAGGGAGAGATTTCCCAGAAAGCCTCTAACTGGTGCAATTGGGCACAAGCTGGAACCCACCTGGAAGACAGTCTTCTCCTCCTGGTAACCAGGAGTGCCCTGCGCTCCACAAGTCTTCTCTCCAGGAAAGATTGTTCCTGTTCCTGCTCATCCATGGCCCTTGTCTCCATCCAGCATGCTCACCCTTTTCTTCTCAGTTCCCTCACTGAAGTCTCCTACAGGCAGACTGCCCTCCTCCTTCACTCAGCTTCATGTCCTTTTCTCCTCCCTCTCTTGTCTTACTCTTTTTCTTCTCTCTTGACATTCCCCACTTGCCCCTTTCCCCTCTCTCTTCCCCTTTCTCCCCCTAGTGCTGGGAGAACTATGAACTTATATAGTAAGGAACTAATAGTTCACTCTCTGCAGGGAGAGGAAGGGTAGAGAATTTGTGCCCTGGTTGCCAAGGGTGACTGGCAGGCTACAACAGGTTTTGGGGCATACAGCCTCCTTGGTTTCTGACATAGCTCTCTTCTGTGACTTTCTGGCTGCACCAGGTCAAAGAGAGACCTGATTTTTAAGAACCATGGACCTGGGCCTATTCAGGCTTTGAATGGGGACCCAAGCAAAGGACTCTCAGAGACTTTGACACATTCAGGATTTAGCACTGAGCTACCCTGCGCTACCGTAGCCCCTCCACACCATAGTCCCACTGTACCAATTCTCCCCTTCCCAACCTGCGGTCCCTTTCAACAAGTCCTCTTCCCTCCTTCCTCCCTCCATTGCCAGCCCCTGGAAACATCCATTGTTGTCTGCTTCTGGCTCAACTTCCCCAGAATTCAGATAAGTGGTATTCAGTGGGAAAGCTCCTTCTAGGGTCATGTACATCCTATGGTTCATGTGCTATAAATCGGGGTGCTTGTTGGTGAGAAGGGGCCTTGAAAAAGTAAAGAGTAAATTTACAAGTGAATGCTGGTGGCCATTCCTACTTGATTTTTTTGGGGATTCCATTCTCCATGCCTTATTGTCACTTACCTAGATGTTGTGTCTCCTTTTTTGTGTGATGTGGAGGCAACAGCATAAAATGCCTTCTTACCCACTTCCAACTTTTCCTGTTCTTGGTGAAGTCTATGGATGCCTCTTGGGATGGTCCTTGATAGATATTGGTAGTGGATTCTCAAGTTCTATACCCTTGATATTTTTATATTCAGTGTTACCATCCTGGAGAGGCTCCAAGAAATGCATTCATATATACATACATGTATGTGTGTGTGTGTGTTTAATTTCGTTTTTGCAGGACTGGGTTTCTGTGTGTAGCCCTGGCTGCCACGGACCAGCCCAGTCAGATTCCCTGCGCCCGTGGGGAACAAGGCTCTGGACAGGAAGATGCAGTTTTGGCCATGAATTGATAGACAGAGACACCTTGATGGTTTTGGCTCTGCTGCCATTTTACTGAAGTCAAGCTGATAATTTTATAGTGATTTCACAAAAAGGCACCTTAAAGTTGGCATACTTTCCAGAACATTTAGACTTTTACCAAGAATACAAAGTTTACATTTTAACATAGGGGAGTGCCTACAAAAAAATCTTGGTCTGTAAACTTTTGATCAAAGCAGACAAAGGGAAAGAAACCTCAAATGCAGTTTCATTATTGCTAACCAATGAAGAGGAAAGTCAGGAGCTAAGTCAGATGCCTGCCAAAATCTTTCTCTGTATCAAAATCTAATTACACCTTTGTTAACCATCCTCCCATATGTCCTGCTAAAGATTTATGATCTTCCCTAGAAACAAAGTGCTGAAGGGAGGGGAAACTCCTGCCAGCTGTACTTCTCATGCTACTTTTCCTTAAGAAGGAGCCTATTATTTTTTACTATTTTTATAATGCTTTTTGATACTGAATCTAATTTATTACTTTTTTAAGCTTATTCTTTTTACATTTTATCCTTATTAAAGCCTTTAATAATTTACTAAGGATAAATTTCTTTGTAAAATTAGTTGTGCTATTTCAGGAGTCACAGAGAAAAATAAAATAAAAAAACTCATTAATCCAGCCCCACAACTGCAACTGAAAAACCGTAGAGACCCTAGACTGCGTCTTTTTCACTTAGGTGGTCGGGTAGACCTGCCAGTGCCTTCCAGGGGGCGAATTTCCGAAGAAAGCGTGTC